AATATATTGTTTTGCGCATTAAAAGTAAAAAGTGTGGTGTGTTTTTATTTGCTTTTGAAAAATTGCTGTGTGAGTACTATGTGCCATAAAAAATTGTAGTACCCACCATTTTATTCACTAGGGTGTCTGCTAGAATAATTTATTTTTTTTACAAGTTTTTGGAAAATGACATTTTTTTTTTACACAAAATTGTCATTTAAATGATTTATTGCTCACACATACCATGGGTATATGTGGAATTACTCACCAAAATACATTCTGCTACTTCTCCCGAGTATGGGGGTACCACATGTGAGACGTTTTGGCAGTCTAGCCAAGTACAGGACCCCAAAATCCAATAAGCATTTTCAGGATTTTAAAGGACTTTATTTCCTCATTACACTTCCAGACTACCTATCAGTTTCGGAGGCCCTGAAATGCCAGTGTAGCACCTAACCCCCCCAAAACGACCCCTTTTTTAGACACCCCAAGGAATTTGATAAGAAGCATGGTAAGTATTTTGCAGATCTCATTTGTTGCCACATGTTTTTGGAAAATGAAGGAAAAAAAATAAACATTTTTTTTTTATTTCAAAACCTTGTGAGAAAAAATGAGATCTGAAAAATACTCACCATGCCTCCTTTTTAAATTCCTTGGTGTCTACTTTCCAGAAAGGGGTCATTTGGGGGGTTTGGTGCTATCCTGGCATGTCAGGGCCTTTGAAAGCCTGAAGGTGTGTAACTTCATTACCCATCACAGTTTCGAAATGGTCATTGGATTTCAGGCTCCTGTATGTGGCTAGCTCCCAAAGTCTCACACGTGGTATCCCCTTACTCAGTAGAAGTAGCAGAAAGTATTTTGGGGTGTAATTCCACATATATCCATGACTTGTGCGAGAAATAAATCATTTAAATGACAACTTTGTGTAAAAAAAAAAAAAAAAAAAAAAAAAAACTTCTGAAAAAAAATAAATCTTCCATGGACTCAATATGCCTCAGCAGATAGCTTATGGTATCTACTTTCTGAAAAGGTCATTTGAGGCTGTTTGTACTATCCTGGTATTTTAGCACCTCAAGAAATGTGATGGGCAGTCAAAGCAAAAGCTGTGTAAATTCCATTATCTATACCATAGCTTGTAGACGCTATAACTTTCACACAAAGCAATAAATATACACTTACTGGGATTTTTTTTAACCAAAAACGTGTAGCCGAATACATTTTGGCCTAAATTTATAATTTACTTTGCATTTACTATATATTTTTTAAAGCTGAAAGTAAAAAATAGTTTTTATTCAAAATTTGATTTTTTTTTGTTTATAGCGTGAAAAATATAAAAAGTGCGCGGGTGATCAAATACCACCGGAAGAGCTCTATTTGTGTGAAAAAAAGGACACAAATTTCGTTTTTGAATTAGTGCAGTACCGAGTAGCAAAAAGAGGCCTGGTAAGGAAGGGGGGTTAAATCCTCAGGAAGGCAAGTGGTTAAGATGACTTTTTTTTTTTTTTTTTGAAGAGTATACTTTTTGTAATTCTGGTATTGGATAATTCACTTGTTTGATAAAATGAGTTTGATTTTTTTTTTATTTTGCAATGAATATCATATTTTGAGCTTTTGATGCACTTTAAGAGATTTTGTAATTGGTTAGAGTGCTACTTTTTTCTTTGTCACTTTTTACCTTGTTTGAAGGAGAGGTTTCAGCTGCTTTTATTTATAGATTTATTAAATTTTTTGGTTAATTAGGTATTTTCTAGTGGCGCTATCCATACCCTAAACTAAGAAAAATATATAATGTTTGGGGGTTGTCATCTTCAGGCCTAAAATGATTTTTTAAAACTTGTGCAAAAACGGCTCTGGCAGCGAAAGGGATAAAGGGATAAGCCTTATGTTCCCCTTTCCTGATGAGAACCCAATCGGTGCTCATTACACTGCAAGGTCTCTCCCCTCCCTGCTAGCGCCCGAGTGCTGTGCTGGAGACGGGCAGGGAGGGGAAGGAGGAGGAGATAAATGGCGCAATGTTAAAATTATTACATGTTTAAGTCGCCATAAAGCCCCTTTGTTTTTAAAAGCCCCAGACACTCCTTAAATCTCCTTTGATTTTAAATACGGTTTTAGTTTAAAAAAAAAAAAAAAAATTTTTTTTTTTTTAAATCTGGATATGTAGATTGGATCTCCAATTTAGACCATGGACAAGTAGTTTTTATTTTTTTTTTTCAAAAGTTTCCACACCCCTGAACATAGGCTATCTGCAGGCAGCTCCAGACACTTAATACCTAGGAATGGCTTATTCATGGTGTACAGACCACTTCACCTTTTGAAGATATGGCAAGTGTAGGCTGGGTATTTAAACGCTCTACAACACTAGATGGTGTGATTTGAGTGTTCATAGTCACAATTTTTTTTAAAAAAAGAACAATCTTGGAAAGAAGATAAAGAAAATGTCCTTGTGGATGGATGTGTTTGTTTTTTTTTTTTTTTTTTTTTTTTTTTTTTTTCTCCCTTGTTTTCAAAACAGGTGTGCTTTGTTGTAGTCAAATGCAGGTACAGAATGAACAACGGCTCTTATGGATGTTTAGATGTCAATTTTATTGTACACTTTGCAGACTATATAGCAGTGGTGCACAGAAATTCCGTTGCCGAAACAGATACCAAAAATGCATGTAGCTGTAGACCGAGCCAAAAATGTCTATTTGGGGGTGGGGAGGCTCCATTTTTTTTTTTTTTTTTTTTTTTTTTTTTCTTGGGAAAAGGGACCGCTCATTCTCTGAGCTATAGTGAAGAAACAAAGCCAACAATTGTATTTAAATACAGGCACTGGCATAGTGACAGCCAGTGAGGGATCCTCTGTATACACTGCTCCTCTCCTGCCTTTCTCCCCCTTCACATCTGCAGTACACACAGTCACCTGTATCGGCTAAATTTTTCCTGTTGGCAAAATCCCGCTAGGGCTGTTTTCAGCTGATATGTTTCGGCGGCCGTAATTTAGGTGCACCCCTACTATATAGATGTGTACAGCCAGGATCTTATATTAAGATAAACATTGATTTGTAGACTTGCCTCTGTATCTTCTGGGTGTGAGAAGCTTGGGAATTTTTTTTTATATTGGCTATTTGTACTTAACAATATTGTACATTATCATCAGTCCTGTCCTCATTATCATCAGTCCCTGTCCTCAAGGATCTTACAATTGAAGGTCGCAACCTCACAAACACACCACACACTCCAATTAACCTACCAGCATGTCTTTGGTGTTGGGGAGAAAACTGGTGTACTATGGGGGGGCCCACTTAAATTGGTACCAAACAAGTCAACTTTTTTCTTTTTTTTTATTTTGCTGCTAATTCTTAGACTTTTTGACCATCCCCAGATGGTGCAGCTATCACATCTATTTCAACAGAATAAGCTGCCCAGCAAATGTTGCAACAAGCTGTTTACCATTGACAAGAGAGCCCACAATGATCAGTTTTTGTTCCCGTAGAACCGTTATCCTACGATAAAACTATTGCAACTGCAGTGTGAGCTGAAGTTTTGCTTCAGTTTTACTATATCCAAGTCTGCTCGTACATTTAACACTCCCCTCCCCCAGACTGACAATGCGGTGGTCAAAAGGTCAGATCTTAGGATTGGCAAGCTGCAATATATTTTATTTTGGGCTTAATACCACTTTAAGCACAGTGACACGCAAACTCCATTGTTGGGGTTCAAACCAAAAACTCTAGTGCTAAAAGGCACAAGTGGTAAGGACAGTTACAGCAGAAAGCTATGGATTCACATCTATCAGAAGTTGCTGTTAAGATGACACGTGGTCATAGATTTATAGTAAAGTGAGTTGTTGCTGTTCTGGGCTTCAAAGACCTCTGATCATGAGAGGTAAATGATATGAAGCAAATTCCACCAGCGATAAACCTGTGACACTTAGCAGGTGTTTGACCTAATTCATCAGTTTCTTGTGTAGTGCATGCCATACATTGGTCGAATTCTGAAAGCCCTTTCTTTTGATAATTGTAAGTAAGAATTTTATTTCGAATTTCATACCATTAGTGGGCTTTGGCCAATTTTTTACTTTTTTTTTTTTTTAGCTAATTTCTAATCAATGATAGAGAATTGTTCGAGAAATATATTTGAAAATGAAATGGGCATGGGCTGTGAACCAGAAACAAGATTATTCCCAGCCACATTCGTTCCTGTAGCAACATGAGGTAAAATTGAAGGCTTGGTTGGTCAAATTCCAAAAAAATGGTGGCACAATCGGATTCCAAAATGCACAATTTCTGATTTTCTAAAGCACATTTGTTCAAAATGTGCCCATGTATGGCCTATATAAGGCTTGTATGTTTCCAGCCTTACCATCTTGTTCTCGACATTTTAATTTGGCAGTAGACCATTGTTTCAGTTAATCTGATAAACAAGGCCCATAAGAGTTGCTGTTTGGATTGGAAAAGTTAGGTGTTCCATTCTAAATGTAAGTCTTCAGGTTTTTGGCATTGCTCTAGATTTATCTTCTGTACTGATTTCTGATAATGCTTTCATTTAGCCAAGCATTCACCTAATGCTAATTCCATATTTCTTTTTCTTTCAACAGCAGTTCTGTGGTGTTCTTGGTCACACATTTATGGAGTTTCTGAAGGGCAGTGGAGACTACTGCCAGGCACAGCATGCCCTATATGCAGACAAGTGAACTGTAGAAGAAATTCATTACTACTCCACCAAGAAACCCCCCTAAGAGCGGTCAACTTGTTCACGAAGTGTTGGATTTATTTGGCAGCGCACTTTATGTAAGGGGCTGATATCTGGATGGGGTAAACCTCAGTGCACTGCATTTCTTTTGCCTCGGTATTACTGGATTGAAGATTTGCTACTTGTGGGGAGGCTCATTTCACATCCATTGCTTCCATCAACGCAAGCACTGAGAAATTTATGTGGAGTAGAGTGAAGTTGACTTCAGTTTAACATTTCTTTTCAGATTAACTTTTTGTTTTTATTCGCTTTTGAGTATTGCACGATTTTTTTTCTTTAATAAAAATGGCCCGAATGAACCGCCCAGCTCCTGTGGAGATAACCTACAAGAACATGAGATATTTCTTATTACTCACAACCCCACCAATGCAACCTTAAACAAATTCATAGAGGTAAGTCAAATCTTTATTATTGGTTCTGTTTGGCACAATGTCTTGGAGCCTGTCTCAATGGGCTTTGGGCTTGTCAATGGCTCTGTGATGTGTTAAGAAAGCACATATGTCTTACACGGCAACACACCAGTGTGTTTTGTGCTGCGTTGCAAAAATGTTTTACTTGAGTGTTGGTAGCCCATGTATTTAAACAAGGATGTCATGGTGTGAATTGACCCGTAAAAAAAAAAAAAAAAAAAAAAAAAAAAAAACCCTGTAAAAATCTAATTGTAAATCGGGGGTTCCCTGGAAAGATCACTGCTCTCCTGCCAAAGAACCCCCCTGTAATACAGTGAGGTCCCTGCTGGAAGACTTCACAATCGCTACCAGGAACGTCAAACAGTAGCAGGAAAGGGTAACAGTTTATCTTTGCAGGTAGTCCTTGGAATCACAACTTGATTTTAGCAAGCTACTTTAATTTAATGATCAAGGGGGAAAAAAAACTACGTTCTTGTATCTTCAGTCTTTGACACGTCTGTGTTCTGATGTTGCTTGCATAGCCTGGTTTAAACTTGCCTTTTCAGGCAAACTCCTTTAGATTTTTGTTCAACTGCCGTGCAAGTGGATACATATGTAAAGTGTTTAGGTTTGACCTATTCTTTTTGGTAAATCTAAAGGAAAATTGTATAATGTATGGCCAGCTTAATGCACCAGGTTAAACCTTTTAATGTAAGCTGGGAAAATCTTGTCAAGATTGGATCGTGTGAATATCCCAAATCAATAACTATTTTGCAGAGCGAGCAGCGCCCTATTGTCAGAGCTAAACCTGTCCAGAGTCAGATTAGTTTACAAATGCAGCCCAAAAGTTTTCTTTTGCCAGGGGAAATGAGAGCTCCTTGTTGAGGTAGCTGCCTCATTAAAGTCAGCTGTGGTTGTTTTTTGGTTACTCTTACAACGTAATGGTCATGCAATAAGTTTGAAAGTAGTATTGCTCCCTAACCTTTGTTAAATGACTTCTAAGCCCTAAGAAAACTTGCCCAAGCATACAATTTACTGCATGTAAGGTAACAATTGTTAATCTCTGTATGTACCAGCCTTGGGTCCCTCAGCGCAGCCTCCTGAACATCGTCTGGGAGTCACTTGCCAGTGGGGGGGTGTTTATGGACCGCCACAGTCCCTCAATTAGCTTGAAGGATGCAGGGGGTGGTTTGCCAGAGGGCTGTGTGCATTAACACAGGGATGCAGCCATTTGGGAGTGGACACAAGGGTCTCCACATCACATCAAAAACGGAGCCACACTAAAATGGTAATAGGGCTGGCTGAGTAAGATAGTAAAGTAGCACCTAATGTAACTGGGGACCATTTAGAATGAATGGCACTTTAGCGCACCTGTCAAACAATAGCACATTTTAATACTGAATGTGAGCTTTCATGTTCCATGTTGCACAAGTGTGTGAATGGGTCCTTAAAGTCCTAGCTTGGTGCAACTTTTGTATGCAATGATTATGTGGAACTATATCAAATGCCTTGCTGGAATCATGATATGCTATGTCCACAGCACCACCTTGGTCCAAAACATTGGCAATCTAGTCGTCAAATACAGTCGAATTTAGTCTGACATGATCCGTTGTCGGTAAAGCCACGCTGTTTTGGATCCAGCAAGTTGAGTTTTTATGTGATCAATGATCTTCCTTTTTCAGGAGGTTGGATAGGTTGTGGGGAGTTTACCTTTTCAACTTTCACTGCCAGGTCTGTACAGACCTACAGTACTGCTACCAGCAGGCCAGGTCTGTAAGCCGACTCTTCCGCAGACTTGAATTTAGAAGGCAGCATCGCTACAAGCCGGGTCAACTGTGCTGTGGATGTGTAGCAAAGCATCACCCCCAGTGTTGGTGGCATAGGCAAATGTGTGCTTTGGTCCCATGCATGCAAACTTTCAGAAATGTTTTATTTTTCAATCTATTTAGCAGGAATTTTGCAAAATTTGATTATTTTAGTGTATTCAGCAAAATTTTTTGCTTTGATAAACATTTGCTACTAATTTTTAAAGGTCCCATAATATACACGCACTTTCTTTTTATTCTGCTGGTCATGTGCTTCTGAAAATACATGGTTTGAGGTGGTCTTTCACAACTCTGAAAGCTGTAATGGAAAAAATGCAAGAAATGGTTTGCGCCCCCCCTTCACTTTAGACCCCCATTAAGGATTAAAAGGACATTATTTGCTCATTTAGATTCAGCCCTGCAGCCAGCAATTTCTGCCATGTCAATTTTCCAGACTACTTCTAAGTTAAGACAGACCATAAACCTGTTCTAGACCTTACTCTCCTATAAGTACAGCTGATGCCATTGGTCATGTTGTGTTGATGCTGTTGAAAATGTCTGACATGGCTCAAGAATCTGTGTGCATTCGCCGGATTTTGATTTAAAGATTCTGCTGAGTATGCTATAAGAAATGTTGTCTGTGCATGTCCTTTTAATGGCAAACTCTTCAGTGTGAAATCCCTTGACAAACTCATGAAGGCAGTTAGTCCTTCTCCACAAGAAAATACCCAAGTCTCATACCCCTGTGGCTTCTACCTCTACTCAAAATAAGGAATATTTTGTTTTCCAAGAAACCAGCCTCAGAACCAAGGCTTTAATACTTGTGTTTCAAGTCCTAGCCCACCAAGCCTTCTCAGAAGCCCTCTTCACAATGAATGGGCACCCCCTTTTGAGGGAGTGAATGTCTGTCTGGTGTCTGCTTTAGGCTGGCTCAGGAATGACCTGGAGGTTTGGGTCCTATGTCCTCTCTGAAGGGTACAAAGTAGTTTCTATTGTCCCCTCCTTGCAATTCACCAAAGGAAGAAGGCAGATTTGATGTCTGCCTTGCACTTGTTTTCTTTAGAAACGTTTTTCAAGGTTTCTGGTCAAACCTGTTCAGTTCTCAAAATTGAATTTACCTAATACTGGACTTGAATTGCTCAACTGATTTCTTTATCTTACAAAATTGCAGAATTTACCAGATCTGTCTTTACTTCTCATCACTTGAAATCTTCCTGTGTTTTGCTGAGCACAGGGCAGTACTTCAGTTTTTGGCACTGCCATTTGGGCTCTCCCCTGTACCCAGCGTGATCACGGAACTGCTTATCGGACTTTGAATCCAAAACATGCCGGTGATTACCTGGTTGACCTCTTGCTGAAGGATTCCTCAGATAGGACTTTGTCTACCAGAGTCCATTGGACCATTCATTTTGTCTTAAACACTTATAATCCACTTTCCAAAGTCTGCTCTCCAATCCTCATTGTCTGGAGTGCTTGGGTCTATTGAGGGAAGATGGCCTCTTTAAGGATCAGCTATGGTGCTGTCATGTCACAATTCCGCCACTCCATTCACTTCTGTTTGAGGGTTCCCTTTGCCCAATTGCAATCCAGATCCATTTTAATCTGACTTTTTTGAAGGTGTGCAACAAGCAGATCCAATCCTTGTATCAGCCAGTGCTTCTTTCCAGTCAAGCGAAGGACTCCATTGACGTGGTGGAGCCAATCCTGCCCTGCAGTTGGAGAAAGTCTTTCCTTTAACGAGCCATGAGAATGACAGATGTTATAATTATTATACTGGATTTATATAGTGCCAACAGTTTGCTCAGCACTTTACAATATAACGGGAGACAATACAGTTCAATACAAGAGGGATAGGAGAACCCTGCTCCTTGGAGTTTACAATCTAGGAGTGAGTGCAATGCACACCCTGTGGGGGGGGGGGGGAAATATGATCCACAGGATTTACAACTACGAAGTTCCAGAATATTGATGGGATCAGACTGTCTACAACTATGCACCCCCTTGTGCGAGATTCTTCCAAGCACCCCCCCCTTGTATTGTCCTATGTAGGTGCGTGCGCCTATTGGCACCATTTTGTTGGTGGTATTCAGATGTCAACATATACTGTTGATAAGTGTATTTCTCTGCAGTTCAGCAGGGAAAACGATGAGGGTTGCCAAAGGCGGAGGATCCTAATCTCCCAAGCTGATGGGGCAATAAAAGTTAATATAAAGAGCATTCTAATGACAATGTATGCTTACAAAAGACCTTATTACACATACTGTCAGTATGTGTAAAAAAAAACAAAAAAAAAAAAAAACAGTATGATTAATAGAAAATTAAAAAGAAAAAACCCTTTAGGACATCAAAGATGGGATGTCTGAGAGGACTAACCTGAATGATAAATTGTCAGGATACAATTAGTAATATAAAATATAATACATATACAGTGATATAAATATAATCCAATCATCAAAAGATAAAATCAAACAAAAGTAGAAATACAAACAATAAAAATAAGAATAAAAACATAATACACCAACATGATAACATTGCGATGACAAAAATGTAGTAGATTAAACCACAATGGAGTAAGGGTAACAATAAATATAAGGTATGCATGTAAACAAAAATCAGGATAATTAATACAGGGGTGTATATAGAGTAAGCATAATATGGAGGTCAGCACCATAATTATAATATAGCATAGTAAATATAGTAAAATATATCACACTCCTCCAGATATAAATATGAAACAGAATAAAATGGGGATAAATAAATAAAAAATAAAGAAATAATGAAAAATCTTCCGAGAAAAATAATATATTCACATTGATGGACCTGGATAAACTCAACGGTATATTAACTGTTATCTATAAAACAATAAAAAAAATATAAAAAATCTGATCATTTACTCTGCTTTCAAGAGGCAATTACAACAGTTCATGAAAAAATATCCAAAGGGACAAGCGCAGAAATTTTTCTCAAACTTTTCTTGCCTTAATTTAGTATAGTACTTGTATGGGAAAAAAAAAAATCGTGTGACTAAGACGTGCATGCTCAAACAAAACCATAAATACATCCCTTCTTAAATTTTAATCGGTCTTAGACTTTTTGTAATTTTAGTAACCTATTCATTATCAATAGACTGGCATGCAGAAAAAGGACGCTCATTTATCCGATACTCTCATTGTGTATACAAAGCATGACATTCTGGCTCTCAGCAGTCCACATTCTGGGAGTGGGCAATTGGAAGATGGTTTTTCTAAGCCGTCAATGAATAGTAAGACCAGACATTGAGCCTAGAGATAAGATGAACACATTTTATAGCAAAGACCATAGATCTAACATGAGCAGTAGATGCTCCTGGTAATTTCTTGGACTACATTCCAACTGTCTTATGCCTTCCTTCTGAACTTTCCTTGACTGCTGCACAAGATGGAGGAAGGAGTCCTGGGGGTTCATTGCACCAAATGGCCCAGAAGATCATGGTTAACAAACGTACTGACTAAGTGCAGACCAGGCTCGGCCACTTTCAAACAGATTTACTGGCCCAATTCCCATCCTATCCTTCTCATCCCTGGATTAACAATCTAGCTGTTTAATTGCAAGTCCTAAAGGATAGTCTGATTCAGTTATTCCCAACTTGCTCTAAGCACAGAAATCAAAGTCCCGTAAGATTTATCGCATGTGGAAGGCTTTTTATGCATGGTGCAAGGAAAGAAGGCTTAGTGTTCACCTTTTTCACAAAATGGGAAGAAGTGAACCAACATCCTACTCTGTGGACAATTGCATCGGCTGTGTGTAGTGATGGCTAATTGCCCATGGAGGTATGTTCCGTGGTGACCAGAGGGATGAAGAACTTGTACTACAATCTTAGGGAACACTTGCCCTTGGGTTTTCAGCCTTTCTTTTACCAGTGACTGACTGGCCTTCAATGTACCCTCAGTGGATGTGTTCCTGCTATATCTATGGTCTTCAGAAACCCCCTTGCCCTGCATTCCTGTGTAGGTTTTCTACTAAACATTGCTTAGATCTTCCTCAATTTGGACGTGTCATCTTCGGATCTCAGCCTGGTGCTCTGTTTTTAAAGCGGAAGTAAAGGCTGTAAATAAACCTCCCCCTGCATGTAATGGCATGTACTAGTATGCATTGTATACTAGCACGTTACAAAAGAGAAACTAGTGTGCATGTAGCCTTAATATGCCAAAAGCAGCACAAATCAAATACTATAAACAATTCCTGCAGTGCTCACATATAAATCCTTTGAAGAAATGGCATGTATAACAAGCTCTATTTGCCAGCTGCATGTTGCTTCAATGTTGTTAATGCAGTGCAAGCGTGTGCCTAATGACAGGTATAATAGGAGCAGGGCAAGGAAGGCTAACACTAATCCACTTAACCATAATCGGGCTGCGCCCTAGCCTGTCAACTAGCCTGTATTTAATGGTAAAAAAAGACCGCACACTCTAGCCAGTAAAGGTAATCTGCAGCTTAGGGTACCCTTTCTTCTGAATTTTAAAAGGGCACATTCATTCTGTCTAACATTTCTCCAGAGACTTGTGGGCACTGCCATTTCTGAACATCTAGTTGCTTGGCTGGTTTATTTGACTACAATTTGTTTTGTTTCACAGGAACTTAAAAAGTATGGTGTTACTACGGTGGTGAGAGTTTGTGAAGCTACTTATGACACTGCTTTAGTGGAAAAAGAAGGAATTCAGGTGCTGGTAAGTATGGGACTAGAATGTTTGTTTGAGGAAGTGTCAAATGTCTGATTCTATATTCCCCCCCCCCCCCCCCCCCCCCCAAGTGTTACTGCAGAACACATAGTACATTTCTGCTTTTCTCCACTGGTATTTTTCTTTGCATATCTGCTGAGCAAATGTTTGCTAAACTTACAGGATGGTAAGGACTTTAGTAACCCCCAACATAGCTATGGATAGATGGGAGACTGCCTGTGGGATCGTCAATTAAATAAGGTCAGACACTGACAGAATATTTAAGAGCTTTTCCTTTTTGTTTGGCTCTTGCAATTTTATAATGTGCATAAAGGTTCAATTTTATCTAAGCGATGTACACTTGCACCCTCGTGTTTAATGGAAGTGAAATGTTTAAGAACGTCACCTCCTATCTGAAACTAAGAGCTTGTGTGAAACGCACTGCTGCCTTTCAGGAAAGACGTATGCTGACTGGTTGAAACGGCCAGCGGTTATGGGTCTGCTGACCAAACCATCTTGGCACTCTCTGGATTTGGGCTTCAGTGATGTCTGAAACCTGAGATTTATGGGACTGAGAGGAAAATTGTAGTTCACTCTACAGTATGCGACTGCACCAAAAGAAATGTAGTATCTAGACAATCAGTACTAATTGGGGCGCATGCGCATATTTATCTGGAATTGTATGTTTACAGAATATCCCACTCCTATAATGCAAAGCCCTCTTTATTTTGTCCACTAAAAATACCTATAAAGTTCTGGCCTGCGAAGTTCTAGGATCTGAGTTTCTTTTCTCTTCAAGGACTGGCCTTTTGATGACGGAGCCCCACCATCCAGTCAGATTGTAGATGATTGGCTAAACCTCCTTAAAGCTAAATTCCGTGAAGAACCTGGCTGCTGTATTGCTGTGCATTGTGTTGCTGGACTTGGAAGGTAAGCTGTGTGGGGGAATCCTGTATGTGTGAAAAATTCTTTCATTTAGGCTATATGTCTATACATGTCTTGTCTGTTTTTACTACTTAAAACATTACCTTTTTACACTGAATTTTTATTTTTTTTTCCACTGCAATGTGTAGTATGTCTTATGTTTTGGCGGAAAAAAAAAAACATTTTGTAGGGAACTTGTGCACACATGTACATGGTGGGGATTTTTTTTTTTTTCTGAGGAAATGACTTGTCACAACACATTTAAGGGTTTTTAATGCACCACTACCAAATTTTTTTTTTTTTTTTTTTCATTGGGATCCTTCTTCCTCCACAATGCATGGACACCAAAAACTCACACCTACTAAGTGACACCATTGTGACCTGTAAAACCCTTAAACGTTTCCTACTGTATACAGTTTTCAGTAACTAAATTTTGCCTGCTATATACTGGGAGCAATGGAACAATATTGTTTTCACATTGGTCTCTTATAACTTGGCATGGAATTTATAGGTTGTGTGGCATTTATTCATGCATTAACATTGGCATGATATATTGTGTACGACTTAAAATGGCATTTGCAGGCACATTTCAAAATCTTGAATGCTATACACATGGTCAATATACATCAGTTATTGATCTGCACATAAAGTGTCATTTTTGAATGAGCCTCTGTGCAATCTGCTGTGGGTGTCACTATAATTCGAACACCCCCAAACCCAGAACAGAAGTAGTGTTTTCCTGTGCTGGATCGCATAGTACCATGCGATGCAGTGCGTTTTTTGAAAGTAGTGCCTGCTCTTTCAGCCCATTTATTGGAATCATACCACATGGAGTCAACTGACCCTTTGAAGAAAAATGTATGGAAAATGTAATTTTTAGCCTGAGGTATACATGGTTTGGCACTTTTTTTACAGTTTGCAGCCCAAAAACTAGTAACCATATTTGTGCTCATAATATTGTACACTTAATGCTGGTGTCATAGATGAAGCTGCAGAAAATGCTTTAAAATGTTTGCCGACCTATGTCTGTAGTCTGCTAGTAGTACAACATTTTTTAACCTGAAGTAAAATGATACCAGCACAGATTGGCTAAGTCCGGTTTATGTCTAGAACCTAAAATTAATTAGCACTGCTAGTATTACAATGAAGTATTTTTTTTACCAACATTGTGACATTTTCAGTGGGTTATTTAACTCTTTTGCAGAGCTCCAGTACTTGTCGCCCTTGCACTCATTGAATGTGGGATGAAATATGAAGATGCGGTTCAATTTATAAGACAGTAAGTTTGTGCTGCTCTATGGTTATAAGCTAGTTGCTCACGCATACAAGCAAGGGCACTGTAGTCTGTTGGTGAATATTGTGCATTTTTCAGGCATAATGCCAAAGTCTGGAAGCAGTTGATGCAAGTTTTCCCATTTTTACCAGCATATTTCCAAGTGTGCACTGTGTCAGGCAGTACTGCAAACATATGCTGCACAGTTTCTGTGATTTTAAAAAGTTTTATGCCAATTTTGAATAACAATTTTTTTTTTCTATCCTCCTGTATGTTAAACATATAGGCATTCTTACTGTGTGTAGTTATCACAATTAAATCGGTGAAATCAAGGAGCGCTCCTTATAATATGAACCTAGCATAAGTAATTATTTACCATAAATACTGGAGGCCTGGTTAAATTCCTTTTTTAAAGGATCGCATGTACATGCAAGTTTCACATTCTAAAGCAGCTATTGCTATCTTCCATTGATTTTGTTTTTTTTTTTCCTAGTCAGTTTAGGGATACAGTATTTAGCCTTGAGGTTATATTGCTGGCTACAGACAGATTGGACACAAGCAAATTTGTAGGTCAGCCTAGGATAACACTCCCACTAGTGTGTGTGTTCTCTCTGGGAGGAATAATGTATTCTCTGCAACTCTGCAGGGATAGGTTAAAGCTAGCCATGCACTTTTAAGATTTCATTTGTTCAGCCCTGCATACTAAATAAGATGAATAGGTTCTCCTATCCATGCTAAGTAGATGGTGGAAGCTGCCCTAATGGCTGCTATACCTGTGACCATCTGAACAGTAATTGTAGTCAGATGCAGTCACTGTTTTTGATATTCTTATTTTTTGTGGCTTATTCAAATCATAGTTTAAGCTGAGAGGGTGCCAACAGTGTTGCCCACATCCAGTGATAGTTGATTTGGCCTTGGGTAGACTCTGCTTCCAAGAGGGATCTTTCTAGGTGCAAGAGTGTTCTTTAGGGTTAGCTCTTCGGAATATAGGTTTTTTTATTTTTATGAATTTTTTTCTTTCGGTTTGGATTAAATTTCCCTTTATTGCTATCTTTGTGACCCTACCTCATTACAATAATTCTCCTGTGGCTGACCTAAGAAAAGGGGACTGATCTCCTACTCAATTTATAAAACACTTTGTGTTGAACTTTTTACAAACTATTTTATTTTTCAAGAAATAGACTGTAAAATGACATTACAGCTTCAAACGGTGTGTAAAAAAAAAAAGTAACAAGGCACAACTGAAGTGTACATTTCAAAAAGACGCAATCATATAGAGTAAAGAAAAAGTTAAGATAAGAGAATCAGACTCCTTCTTGCTGGTAGTTTAGAATATTAATATTTGCAAACCAAATGAGTCTTTCTTTTTTTTTTTTTTTTTTTTTTTTTTTTTTTTTCTTTTGCTTTTTTGTACAAGAGTATAATTTTACCTTGCCCTGTGCTCCATTTATGCATTTTGTTTGGGCTGCTTTGACCACTTCAGGTAAAAACCTGTCAATGTTTAGGAAGGTATATGCAAATATTGAAATATTAATTCCAATACGTGTAAATTTGTTTACGTGGGTTATAGTGTCTACAAATGGTGTATGTATGTTCAGCAACTTATTGGGGGAATTCTGACACTGGGTGGGAACTAACTGCCACTGACATCCCCAGTGACACTAATAGTGTTCAGTGCTAATAAAAAGCACTGACACAGGGCAGGAAGGGGTTAACTATGTGTGGTTTTACTATGTAGATGAACTTTTTATTGCTCTGCACAAGCAGCCTGCTAGTGCTGACCTGACCCCTGGGAGAGATCTGTATTTCAACAGACCTCTCCCCTGTCTGCTCTGCCAGCGATCAGTTTTCCAGCCAGGACCCGGTGATTCCTGCTGCCCTGTAGCAGTACTTCTGCTATAGGGTAGTCTGGAAGCTGTTAATGTATTAAATGTAACATTTTATTGCAATGTACTGAACAATTCATTTATTGACTCTTGGTAAGATGTGTTCCATCGTGGGTTCTTTTTTTTTTTTTTTTTTTTTTTTTTTTTAAATGGAGAGAGATGTTGTTGCTTTTAACCTTGAAAGGAACATTGGTGATTGAGGCAGGTTTCAATCTGTCCAGTTAAGTCAATTATGTAAATATTGCGGTATCTGTGTTTAGTAACCAAGTGGGTAATGTACCCTGATTATAAAGTGACTGCCTTTTTTTTTTAATTCTCATCAAAAATGAAGAAAACTGGCTATTAAAATGCTCAAGACCCTAGTTCTTGTAGTGTTGTTTCCTTCACTTAATGTTGTGGTGGCTTTTTGTTTGTGTTTTTTGGTTTTTTTTTCTTGTTAATCCAGTCTGGTTTTGTGTTAACTATTTTCTTCCTTTAACAGAAAGCGCCGTGGTGCATTTAATAGCAAGCAGCTGCTCTATCTGGAGAAGTATCGTCCGAAGATGCGGCTACGTTTTAAAGATTCCAATGGTCATCGGAATAACTGTTGCATTCAGTAGAAAATTTCTGGCTTCAGAAAACTGAATGAGAAATGCAAACCTGGACAAGATCCAATGCTAACACCTAGTTTAATGATTTTTAGGTCAAGTAATGCTTTGGAAAATGTGTAGGTCACTGCCCATAGCGGTTACAAAACTGCTGATGTCAAATAGTGAAGTAATCATGTAACTGAGCTTGAATTTGCGTATTTGTTGTGTTTTTAATTGATGTCCCTCCTAATTCTGTATAATCATGCAGTTCAAAAATTTGTCATTTTTGGTTTACTAAGACTAGTGTTGGCTAATAAAGTACACAATGCCAAAAGACTTAGCACACCTCACAACTTCACTTTCCTGTGCAATTTGTCAGTTTCTGGCAAGGTTTAAAAGAGGTTTCAGTATTTGCTGGCTGCTCACTGTATGTTTACATCTTCCACAATGTCAGGACTTGCACCCATCTATGGTGTACAAGTGACTTTTTTTTTTTTTTTTTTTTTTTTTCCCCCTTTCCTAAATTGCCAATCGTTCAGACATTAAGTAGGCTTAATGCCATATACACCTTTCTGTTCTATAGAAGCACACAGACCACATAGTAATTCTCCAGACAAAGCCTTACTATCTGAATTTAATGTTTGCACCTTGTCGTGCATCTTGATATTGGAGGACCTTTATAGTGTTTTTATTTCTAGTAAAATGTTGCCTTTGTCTTGTGCAGGAAGTGTAGAATATGCCCTTTTTTTTTTTTCTTTTTTTTTTTTCTTCCGTAAATATTTTTAAAATTGTAGATGCTTTAACGTTGCTGAATTCTTAAAGGTCCTTTCTTTTACTGTACATTCAGACAGTTTTCCAACATTTTTTTGCTTTGATTTAATTTCACCCTTCCCTAGGGTTCTGCTTTTGCCAAGGCAGAGCTTAATGTCTGTAATATTTTGTATGCCTTTTGAGCTGTGTAACTTAATATTTGGATACTTGATTTGTTTTAATATGTAATTGATTATTAAAAAAAAGGTGTTCTGTATTAATGTTAGCTCAATCATATATTTATACTGTCTTGGGAATGTGTGGTGTTAGTACTGTGGGAGAAAAGTTACCAGTGTTCACCAGCTTGTAAAATGTAGTATGAAAGCAAAAACATCTAAATAAAGAAGGATATTAAATCTGCTGTTAGTGTGAGTTTTTGTTTAAAGCCAATGTTTGTCATTGTTCTTATAGATATACCTCAGAGCTGAAGTCTCATCAAATAAGATGAAAAGGTATGCAGCTTGTTTTCACTAATAAATTGGGCTAAATTTTTTGTTCAGACTGGTATCTGAATTTGACTTGATAGTGCCCTGGTCTAGTCACTCCTACAGCAGATATCCAACTTGGGAGGAGAAAGCAGCACAGGAAACCATCTGCTGTTACTGTACACAGTATACTTGGTGAAGTTGAAGCAGATCAATCACCCTGCTCTCTTCAATGAGTCAGAATGGGGATAGGAAAGAAACTTGTAAATCTTCTGAAATGTAGCAGAAAAAAAATCTGCCAGATAGGGCTGTGTGAGCTGCACTGTTACAATTTAATACCTTGTTTACACTGATAAAATATGTGAGTGGTTTGCAGTGTAAAGTACATGCTAAGTTCAGTGGATCGTTCAACACAAGGGCACATTTTTCCACATGGAACAAGGGGGGTAAAGCTCTGTTAAGATTTAAAATGTTAGATTTGTTTCAGATTTCAACAGTTTTGGAGTGTCCCCATATAGTTGGTATAATTTTGGTGACTTCATGGCTGGTGATGCGATTCAGTGCATATCCTGCTATGTACAGTTGTATTCAAACTAATAGCAGTGTGTTGAAAAAAGTTAATAAAGCTCAAAATCCTTCTAATAGCTTTTATTTCCATACACACAAATGCATTGGGAACACTACACGTTCTATTCCAAATCAAAACATAAAGAAAAATATATCAAATTTGTGGTGTTCCTCTAAAAAAAAAAAAAAAAAAAATTTTTTTTAACAGTCTAATCACTTTTCTTCAGTGTCTGTATTCTTTACAAACTCAAACATTCATTTTATAAACTGAAATGTTTGAAGATTTTGCTTTCCTTTTGAATCACTTAATTAGTTGTATAAGCACTGTTTCTGAGAACTGCTGTACATCTGTGTTGCATGGAGTCAACCAACTTCTGGCACCTGTGAACAGGTATTCCAGCCCAGGATGATTGGACTACATTCCACAGTTCTTCTCTATTTCTTGGTTTTGCCTCAAACTGCATTTTTGATGTCACCCCACAAGTTTTCTATTGGATTAAGATTCGGGGATTGGGCTGGCCACTCCATAACATCAATCTTGTTGGTTTGGAACCAAGATGTTGCATGTTTACTGGTGTGTTTGGGGTCGTTGTCTTGTTGGAACACCCATTTCAAGGGCATTTCCTCTTCAGCATAATGGAAGCAGGACCTCTTCAAGTATTCTGATGTATTCAAACTGATCCATGATCCCTGGTATGCGATAAATAGGCCCAACACCATAGTATGAGAAACATCCCCATATCATGATGCTTGCTCAACCATGCTTCACTGTCTTCACAGTGTACTGTGGCTTGAATTCAGTGTTTGGGGGTCGTCTGACAAACTGTCTCCGGCCACTAGACCCAAAAAGAACATTTCATTAGTCCACAATGTTGCGCCATTTCTCTTTTAGGTCAGTCAATGTGCTCTTTGGCAAATTGCAACCTCTTCAGCACATGCTTTTTTTTTTAAACAGTGGGACTTTGCGGGGGCTTCTTGCAGATAGCTTGGCTTCACAGAGGCGTCTAATTGTAACAGTACTCACAGGTAACTTTAGACCTTCTCTGATCTTCCTGGAGCTGATTGTTGGCTGAGTCCTTGCCATTTTGGCTTTTCTTCTATCCATTCAAATGGTAGTTTTTTTGCTTTCCTCCATGTCTTTTAGGTTTTTGTTGCCATTTTAAAGCATTTGCGATCATTTTAGCTGAGCAGCCTATCATTTTCTGCTTCTTTGTTTTCCCCTCTCCAATCAACTTTTTAATAAAGGTAAGCTGTTCTGAGCAATGTCTAGAACGACCCATTTTCCTCAATTTCAGAGAGAAATGTGCTGTAACAAGCATGTACATTTGCTGCCTTCCTTCCTTAAATAAGGGCAATAATTGCCACCTGTTTTTCAAAGAATGAATGACCTCACTAATAGAACTCCACACTGCTATTATTTTGAACATGCCCCTTTCAGTTAGTGATTCAATTACACAGAAATCCAACAGTCATGACATGCATGCTGCTGACTCTATTACTCTACTACACCTGCTAGTAAATTATTTGCCATATATAAATATTTCTACCAAAAACAGTGATCAGGTTAGTGATGTCTGACTGCTATTATTTTGAACACAACTGTATGTTCTTAAAGGAAAAGTCCACCTTTTTGGAATGTTACATGTTCCCATTTTTAGGGTGCCACATATTCCAGAATCTGCACCCCCTCCCTGTGACACAGCTGCATCATTCATTCACAGCTTCCTGTGAATAGCCTACAAGTACAATCTGCCGTTGTGAATGGCAGCTTGTAGTTCTCAATGAATTGTGAGGATGCTGGTGCGTGCTCTGGTAGGTCAGTGATTCTTCCTGCTATCTGCCTGCCTGTACAAAGTATGGGCAAACTGCTATTCTGAGTCAGCAGGAGCCTGAGATTACACTTGCGATCTGCAGATCATGGGAGCTATGCTCTGCAGGGTGTGTGGGTTTTTTTTTTTTTAAACTGTTGCAAGGGTGACTGTTCTCCAGCCTGTCAGCAGGTTCCTTGTTTGGAAGCTCAGATTCTTTAGAGGATTAACTAGCAACATAAGTTTAGCTGGTTATATTATTATCAACTTGAGGAGTTTGGACCTCACCCATGTGCTTGCTGGGTCCCCTGTGGATCCTGCATCTTAGTTCCTCCACTCTGCTCTAGAGGTTGGCAGATGGTTTAGATGGTGACAAGTGGATATGGTTTTTCTTCACTGCACTCTGTTTTGAAATGGTATTCAAAAAGATAAAGGGTGAAGCCCTATTGCTGACATCTAGCTGCAGAGGAGCAGTGGCCATCTTGGTACTCTATTTTTTTATTTGTTTTACTCCAGTCATCTTCTTGTTACTTGCTTACTATAAGAGAAAGGGCTACCTCCATAAACACCTTTCTGGCTCCTTTTTTTTCCCCTGCAGGACTAGGCACCTCTCTCCCATTGGCCCCCAGTTTTGCCAGTGTTACCGCTGCACCCCCCGGCCAGGACTGTAGGAGCTAACGCCCGTGCATTTTTATTTTTATCTGAGTGCTCTCTGGTCCCAAGGGTAGTACAGAGGGTCACTAGTTGTTGCCCCCCCCCCTTCCTCCAAGCAAGGCAGGGGCCTTGTGAGGGGGGGGGGGGACCTTTCAGCCTGATTTCTTTGCACAGGGATGTTTGTGGGATATTCAATAAGTCTATGAATGCCCCTTTTGGTCCCATTTTCCAGGGGGGTAGAGCCCGCTCCGCCGATTGGCATTGCACTTTTCCCTGGGGGTTCAGGTAAGTCAATTCACACCTGCTCCTGTGACATCCCGGCAGCACTGCCAGGAGAGCTGGCTGCGGTGGGTTGGACGCTGCGATAGCGTCATTTCCGGCGCATTGGAGCAGGGAACGGCCGCCGCCATCTTGGAAATGGGCGGACGGGCTTGTGGAGGTCCCGTGCCACGGCCGCTTCTCCACCGGCGGCCGTGAGAGGGGGGTCGGCGAGGGGGGATCGCAGGGGGGGGCGAGAGCCGGACCAGCCCCTGAAAAACCATCGCACCTGCAAGTCATTAGCCATGGAGGCAGATCTGTCAGGAAGCGGGGAGGCCCTGCAGTAAGGTAAGGGCCTTGTTTGGTAAACTTCCTTTTGTTTTTACCCCCCTCCTCCCCCCCCCTCCCCGGGATGATTGGGTACCCCCCATGCACACACAGCCCCCTCTCCCCCCCCCCCCCCCCCCCCAGGCCCACAGCTGGAGCTTGCACAGTGGCACAGGGGGGG